AATTCCCCAGCCAGCCATGCTGGCTGGGGAAATCTGGGGGTTGAAGTCCACGCCTCTTAAAGGTCCCAAGGTTGAGAAACAATGCCCTAGATCATATGATTGCACTGAGAGAACAACAACCAGGCGTAAAAATAATAAAATATCTTAGTGTTATCACACGGGAAATTCAGGTCAGTGAAGGGCAAAGAGACAGGCTTACTAGAGGACTCAGATTCAAGGCTGGCACAATGCCCTGAGTGATAAATGAACCCAAAGAGCTGGACTGGCACCACAGATTAAGCCACAAGAGGCCAACCCAGGTTCAAACCAACTGAGCATGTTCTGTGAACGCAGCCCTGGGTGTTTCCCTGGCCTAAATCACCACCTTACGGGAATGCCACCGCAGACTTGACGCAGCCCATGAAATTCAATGTTTTAGGTTGTGTTCGCACAGCATATTTAACCCGGGGACTGAAAGAACCTGTTATCAGCTTCTTCAAAGGCACTGAACCGTAAACTAGCCAAAGGGTATGTCACGCTAAGCCACGAAATCCTAGTTTGCTACAAAGGCCTCGGTGAGGTCTTTAGCCGTCTTAGCTAGCCAACTTCAGGGGTTTCTCAATGCTCCGGTGTCCATTCGGAGGAAAACGTGCAAAGATAAAGCAACGTGTGAATGCTTAAATTCCAGCAATAAAATGCTCCCGGTTCAGTTAGGATGGAGGGATGGAAGACCACCAAAGGTGAGACCGTTTGGCCTAGTGGTGAAGAGGCTGGACTAGAAACCAGAAGATCCTGAGTTCGAATCCTCCCTTAGGCACAGAAGCCGGCTGGGTGACTTTGGGCAGCCCCTCTCTCCCAGCCCGTCCCGCCTCGCAGGGTCGTTGTGGTAGGGACCTTAGGAAACAGGAGCATTGCATACCCCACCTTGAGTGGCTGTTAAAAGCAGGATATAAATCGAATAAATAAAATTCCGGAACGATAAAGGCACGAAAGAAGAGGAACGGATTTGCTCTCGGGGAACTCACCTTCACGTAGTCGTATTCGCAAAGGTAGGATGGCTCCAGGTCGAAGTGCATGAAGTAGAGCCTCACGCGGAATCCGTCCGGCACTGATATGTTCCACGTCACTTCCGAGTCGCTGGGATAAGAGTCCGGAAAGCTGGGGGAGAGGATCTCCCCAAACATGTCGTTCCTCTCGATGGCCTCTGCGCTGAACAGCTGCGTGGCACAGAGGCACCAAACCAGCAAAAGCCTAGAGAGAACAAGAACCCGGTGAAGCTGGGGGTCTTCCCATGCCAGCCCTTCAAGGTAGGCCAGGCCAGGCCAGGAAATAAACAATGAAGAATGTTACTTCGTTGTTGAGGGTATAATAGCAGAATCTTGAAAGCCTACCAAAGTTTTCATTTACCCCCCCTTATACCCAGGAGAGTCAAGGTGGAGTTATTTTGAGTCTCTTTCCGATGCCTTCCCTTTTCCTAAGACTACGTTGTCGTTTCTTATCCTTAAAGGCTCCTGCATTCCTTCTTAAGGTTATCCCCACATTCTTCTACACCAGCGTCTCTTAGCCTCAGCCACTTGAAGACGGACGGACTTCACCTCCCAGAATCCCCCAGCCAGCATGCTGGGAGTTGAAGTCCACCCATTCCTGGCTGGAGAATTCTGGGAGTTGAAGTCCGTCCGTCTTCAAGTGGCTGCGGTTGAGAAACACTGTTCTCTACCACCTCCCAAAGGATGCAGAACTATCTTCTAGGGAAACCAAGCAGGGATTCCTTTAGCAAACAACATAATATACGAATAACCAACATTATTGACTGAATCTTGGATGTGGAGAGAAAAAACAGATCTCCAGCATCGTGTCCCACCCGAATTTGGGTGTATCCCCAAGAAGACCTGTTGCGCAGACCATTTCAACACAACCTCAACGTTGTCGCAAATGCACCTGGTCTCTTTTGAGCAGGACCAGCCCAGAGGGTGGCAAGAAAGTCAAAATGGCGGCTGCAACCGCACCCTCGACGCTCCGTCCCTTTCTCACGTGCAGCCCCTTCCATGACCCCCGGTGTGCAGCAATGCTAGTCATGGGAGGGGATAGACTTGAGGGGAAAGGCGGCTGCAGGAAGGCCTTTTGCACCAAAGGTTGCCCAGAACTGCCCCCCCTTTCAACCCTCCCGTCTGCATCGCTGACGGCTGGATCTCGGTCAAACGATGGCAGATGCGCCAAAGACAATGAGGCCGTGAACTCATCCTGAGGCATTCCTTTTCTGACCAAAATAGGCCTAAAATGGTCAGTGACTCATCGGCTCTTCCTTGGAATCTCTGTCCTTCATCGAAAGGAATCCGGCCATCCAGGCGCATCAGACGTTTCGCAAACTCTTTTGCTCTTCAAGCCTCATTTTCAGACTCCCCATTCTCTAATTCAGTGTTTCTCAACCTTGGCCGCTCTAAGAGGTGCGGACTGCAACTCCCAGAATTCCCCAGCCAGCCATGGGAGGGTTGCAGTCCGCACCTCTTAGTGCGGCCAAGGTTGAGAAACACTGCTCTCATTTATATACTGGATTTTTTGGAAGAATAATTTTCAGATGTGGCAAGCAACGAAGCGCAATTGCATAAGCTATAATTCATAACGATATTTCTTAAAAGAGTTTTGCGGGGTTCTCCAGGCCTGCTTTGTGTTGGGAAGACGTTCCGGGCTGCCACAGATGGTCGTCAGAGATGCATCGGCTGAAAAGTCCAATGCAATCTTGGGCGGCAGGAATGAGGGACCGGACTGAGTCCAGGATGCCGTGTGCGTTGCTCCTGGGTCCAGTCCTGGGCACCGCCCCGCAAGGGAGGTGTGCAGAAGCTGGAGCAGGCTGCAAGATGGTCTAGGGGGATGACCAGGGTTTGGAAACCAGACCTTGTATGTTGTGGTTCCAAGAGTTGGACACGGTTGTCTTGCAAAGGAGGAGACACAGGGGAGAAATGTTGGCTGTTTCAAAATGCCCATGCGGTGCCCCCTCTGTTTTTGGAGGAAACTGAGAAGACGGGCAAGGTCTTGAAATGCCAGAAGGGTGATTCAGGATCACCACGAAGAGGAAATCCCCAATGATAAGAGCTATTAAACACTGGAGCAGCCTATCTAAACCAGGGTTGGAGAACCCCATCCCCTCCCCTTTGCAGGTTGTCCAACACAGTCAGGATGGCCATGGGCAAAGGCGGGTTAGTGGCTTCCTCCACTGAGCAGAGGGTTGGACTACATGACCTCCAAGCTCCCTCCTTGCTTCTAAGTTCTATGTTGCTATTTGAGCAAACGCAGCCCCTGGTTCTGGTGAACCGAGTTCTAGGGCTGGATTAAGCGTGTGGTGAGAAGACAGCCAGGGTTTCCGATGAAGGCCTGAGGGCCCTGGTGACGCTCCTTTCTGTGGTGGCAATGTCCTCGAGTCCCTGCATTTATTGACTTCAGACTTTTGGAGTGCCATTCCCATTGTCCTCGCCAGGCGTATGGGAACGATGGAAATTATAGTTTGGCAATGTCTTGAAGAGACCAGATTTGGGAAAATTGCACAGGTGCATCTTGGGTTCCACCAACTCAGAGAGTTAATTTTTTTAGGCTGCATTCAGACAACATACTAAACCTGTCCCTGAATTAACCCATTTTCTGGGTTCGCGCCATACACGGAACCATAAAGGAATCAAACGGTCCGGATCCAGACAACCCCCTAAGCCACAAAAACCTGTTCAAGCTGATCACTGTAGCAGGTGGGACAAACACAGCTGCTAACTCATTAACTGACTTGATCAGACGAGTTGTGTGAACCCAGCCATACACACCCCCAGTGGCACCTCACGTTATTCTCCTAAAATCCCTTCCTTCCTTAGACAAGCAAAAAAAAAAACCCCAACAACCCCAAAGCTGGTTTGGTTGGCCAGCAAAACCTTCCCCAACTTTGCGGAACCCTAGCTGAATAAAGAACAGACCAACTTAATTGGAAATTTCCTTTTGCTCATTTTATCCTCCCCCTACGAGTTGGGCCCCAGCTTGGCTCCAGAACAGAGTTTCTCAACCTCGGCAACTTTAAGACGTGTGGACTTCAACTCCCAGAATTCCCCAGGTCTTAAAGTTGCCGAGATTGAGAAACCCTGTTCTGGGACATTCCCACCCCTTCCGTGCAGATTTAAGGGGTCCACGAGAGTGAGGAAATGTTACAGGGACTGTTGTAAGTACACAACGACACCATGAAATCCCATCCAGGATCTCTGTGTAAGAACATTATTCTTATTGTACTCTTATTATACTTATATTATATTCTTATTATACTCTTATTATTATACTTTGTATAAGAGCATTATTCAAGCGAGCACAAACGCACTGCAGCAACCCAGAACAGCAGAAAAGGGAAACAGATCACCTATGCAACATCTTCCACAAAATGGATATCCACGCAACTTTATCAAAAAGTGCCGGGCCACTCAACCTACTACAACACAACCAACACAAGCTACAGAAAGGATGACACTGCCATACATCAGAAACGTCTCAGAAACTACCCACAGACTATTACAAGCGCATGGCATCTCCGTGGCACACAAACCAACGAAAGCCCTCCAAAATATCTTGAGTAAACCAAAAGACCCAGTAGGACAAGAAGAAAAAACAGAAGTCTTCTACAATGTACAGTGTAAGGACTGCAACAACCACTATGTAGGACAGGCAGGCAGAGGACTGGCAGAGCGCGTCCATGAGCACCAAGTAGCAGTCAGAAGACACGATGGAAACTCCTTAATCTCACATCATATGGACAGACTCAACCAGAGTTTCAATCGGGAAACTAGACCAAGCTAAATCCAAAAATGCGAGGGAATTCCTGGAAGCTTGGCATTCAGACAAACCAGCCATCAATAGGCACGTAGAGATAAACCACGTTCACACAGCACTCAAAAGAGACAATAGAAAGGAAAGCAAAAGACCAGAACGTCTCCTCGCCAGCAATCGTCACCCAATGGAAGCGAATATGTGTGGCTCAGGGTTGAACGGTGGAGTCCTTGGGGTGCTCTGGGCTTGGCTGTTTTCTCACGATGTCGTCAGTCTGGCAACAGAAACAGTCCATTTTCACAGTGCATCGAACTGTGAACTATCTGTAAACTAATTGTAAACTAACTAAAACAGGGCACCGAACTGTAAACTAAGCTATATCCACACAGCCTGTTAATCCATGGGAAAAAAATGAAAACAAGCCACGATTAGTATAACAACCTGGTTTAACAGGTTGGAAAATCAGGGGCAACGGGGGGCGGGGGTCCAAAAAGTCAAGATGGTGGCTGCAACCTTGTGATTGGAGCTTACCCCTTTTTTACGTGCTTCACCTGCAATGCATATAAAAATGGGACAGGGCTTAGAGTGTACTGTGGCTGCCACCATTTTGACTTTTTGGACCCCCTTCCCTGAGGACCCCCTTGCTGGAAATGCAGCTGCTGAGTTTTTAGCTATCCGGTTGCGACATGTTTTTGGATGGAGGTGTGTGCAATTAGAAATGCCACTTTGGGCCTAACATCTGCAAAACGGGCAGATATTCTGCAGGTATAGCAAGGCTGGTCACCCTTGTTCCAAACCGAAATGGATATTAGAGGCTACCGCTGATTCGCAGCTTCAGAACCGCCCACCGAATGAGATTGTTGAATTGCATGTCATGTTTGCTTTCTGCCTTCCCCCTGTGGCTCTTAACAAGGCGCCGCAAGAACAAGAGTTCTGTGAAACCACAAAGCTTGCCCCGCTCCCTTGAAACAGTTCTGTGTAACTCCAAGTCTTGCTGCTTTTCAGCACGACCTTCCCATTTCCAAACACTCTACTGGCTGGGCTAATTTCTAACACGGCCAAGGGACCAGCTGAAAACTTGGGTTGCCACTGAAGCACGACTGAAACAGAGGCAGCAAGTAAACGAACAGAGTCCTTTTCACGGTGCGGATGGCGCTGTTGTTTTAGGAACTTGCAACCCATATGCAAAAGCCAGCTGCACTTTTAAAGGTCTCGTTGCTTCACCAAGACCCCAGAAGGAAATCAAGAGAAGCTCCTGGTTCTTTTTTTCTTTTCTTTCCCAGCTCGGCGTCTCTCCGGCCTGCAGCGTCCCCAGAGAACAGCCCTGGATGCAAGGGTTTATTTACAATTCCAAACAGAAGGATCTTTTCCCAAGGGAGACCCCCCTTCCCCCCCCCCCGTTTTCAATTCCTCCTCTTTGAAGAGGCATGAGGCAAGATTTGAAGTATCCCGAACATTCATTGTGATCAAGAAAGGCACCCCTGGCTCCTGATGCCATCCATGACTGGCAAGGGAAAAAAAAACCCTGCAGGGCGCATGCAGGATTAAAAAGAAAAAGAAAAAAGCCTTGGGCATTGTCACTTGTGAACGAAAGCTCCGTCAGGAAACTGCAGAAGTGACAGGTGTCTTTCTCCAACCTTTTTCCAGTTAAAAACGGGGACCCTTTGATTGTTCTTCCGGCAGACGTGCTCCCGGGGAGGGCAACGTGAACGGGGATGAAGAACACCCTTGCCAATCTTTCATGCTCGCCCCCTCTGCCAGCAACTCACCTCATGCTCTTTCCTGGGGGTCCCCCTCCTTTTAGGGTTCTCTGATACCCTCTCGAGACAGGGCGGGTTGCGAACCCCGGAGTGCGCGCTTGCCAACGTTCAGCCGGCTGGCTTATCTTTGTCAGAGGTTTGGAGTGAGAAAGAGAGCGAAAGAAAGGGAATGTGCGTGTGTCGGTGTGCGAGGGAGTGTGTCTCGGGTTGTAGCATTCCCCATGCTGGTCACGCCTTCCTCGCTCTGCGCTCTCCCCTCCACACACACACAGACAGACACAGGCACACACACAAACCTGTCAGCAGCCACACGCTCCCCCCTCGCGCCCCGCCAGGGATGAAGATCGCTCAGTCTCCGCAGCCTTCTTTGCACAGAAGCCTGAGTTAGGAATGCGTTTGTTGTCAGAAATCCACTCCCTCCGGCGGTCTGGCCAGATGGCTCCGAGAGAATACGGCGTGCAAGGCATTCTCGCAAAAGGCGATGCGCTCCCCGCTCCTCCACGGGGAATAGAAGCACAGACGGAAGCCCCAGAAAATGCTTCCTTTAAGGGGGGTCTTTGCCCAACGTGAGAGGGGAACCGGGTGAAGGAAAGCTGTGGCGACTGAGCGCACAGAATGGGTTCAGCTCACAAGGGTTAACCTCGGTTGGATGGCTTTAGGGGTGAACCAGCTTCTTCAGTTAGTGCTTCTAAGATAAATGTAGGTTCCCTTCGCCCTGCAGGAGTTTATGGAGGGGAGCGCAGAGGGCGCATAATACGTTCCTGGCGCCTCCATCTGAGCTGTTCTTTTCAGCCAAACGTATTTCAGGGATGAAGTTTGTCCACCAGATCGTAAGAAGAAAAAGATGTAAGAATGGCCAGATGTTCTGTCCTACAGACTACAGGGTCCCAACCGATGGCCAGGGGTGATGGAAGTTGAAAGATCTGATGGGTGACTGGTTGTGACTCCGATACTTCATCATGGAGCGTGACTATGTTAGAGCTTCTTATATCTGGCACTGTGCACAGTTGTCTTTGTGGTACCACAGTGGCCTCGGCCCCCAGGCCTGCTATGGGTGTTTGGGCCACCTTGGAATCTGGTTTGGGTTAGGCCAGGGTTTCTCAGCCTGAGCAGCTTTAAGACGTGTGGTGGACTTCAACTCCCAGAATTCCCCA